ATGCAACACACACTGATAGTGATATTATGCAGCATACACTGATAGTGATATTATGTAACATACACTGATAGTGATATTATGCAACATACACTGATAGTGATATTATTTAACATACACTGATAGTGATATTATGTAACATACACTGATAGTGATATTATGCAACATACACTGATAGTGATATTATGCAACATACACTGATAGTGATATTATGCAACATACACTGATAGTGATATTATGCAACATACACTGATAGTGATATTATGCAACATACACTGATAGTGATATTATGCAACATACACTGATAGTGATATTATGCAACATACACTGATAGTGATATTATGCAACATACACTGATAGTGATATTATGTAACATACACTGATAGTGATATTATGTAACATACACTGATAGTGATATTATGCAACATACACTGATAGTGATATTATGCAGCATACACTGATAGTGATATTATGCAACATACACTGATAGTGATATTATGCAACATACACTGATAGTGATATTATGCAACATACACTGATAGTGATATTATGTAACATACACTGATAGTGATATTATGCAACATACACTGATAGTGATATTATGCAACATACACTGAAAGTGATGTTATGTAACATACACTGATAGTGATATTATGTAACATACACTGATAGTGATATTATGTTACATACACTGATAGTGATATTATGCAACATACACTGATAGTGATATTATGCAACATACACTGATAGTGATATTATGCAACATACACTGAAAGTGATGTTATGTAACATACACTGATAGTGATATTATGTAACATACACTGATAGTGATATTATGTAACATACACTGATAGTGATATTATGCAACATACACTGATAGTGATATTATGCAACATACACTGATAGTGATATTATGCAACATACACTGATAGTGATATTATGCAACATACACTGATAGTGATATTATGCAACATACACTGATAGTGATATTATGTAACATACACTGATAGTGATATTATGTAACATACACTGATAGTGATATTATGCAACATACACTGATAGTGATTATTACACTGTGATATTATGCAACATACACTGATAGTGATATTATGCAACATACACCAATAGTGATATTATGCAACATACACTGATAGTGATATTATGTAACATACACTGATAGTGATATTATGCAACATACACTGATAGTGATATTATGCAACATACACCAATAGTGATATTATGCAACATACACTGATAGTGATATTATGCAACATACACTGATAGTGATATTATGCAACATACACCAATAGTGATATTATGCAACATACACCAATAGTGATATTATGCAACATACACTGATAGTGATATTATGTAACATACACTGATAGTGATATTATGCAACATACACTGATAGTGATATTATGCAACATACACTGATAGTGATATTATGCAACATACACTGATAGTGATATTATGCAACATACACTGATAGTGATATTATGCAACATACACTGATAGTGATATTATGCAACATACACTGATAGTGATATTATGCAACATACACTGATAGTGATATTATGCAACATACACTGATAGTGATATTATGCAACATACACTGATAGTGATATTTTGCAGCATACACTGATAGTGATATTATGTAACATACACTGATAATGATATTATGCAACATACACTGATAGTGATATTATGTAACATACACTGATAGTGATATTATACAACATACACTGATAGTGATATTATGTAACATACACTGATAGTGATATTATGTAACATACACTGATAGTGATATTATGCAACATACACCGATAGTGATATTATTCAACATACACTGATAGTGATATTATGTAACATACACTGATAGTGATATTATGTAACATACACTGATAGTGATATTATGTAACATACACCGATAATGATATTATGTAACACACACTGATAGTGATATTATGTAACATACACTGATAGTGATATTATGTAACATACACTGATAGTGATATTATGTAACACACACTGATAGTGATATTATGTAACACACACTAATAATGATATTATGTAACACACACTGATAGTGATATTATGTAACACACACTGATAGTGATATTATGTAACACACACTGATAGTGATATTATGTAACATACACTGATAGTGATATTATGTAACATACACTGATAGTGATATTATACAACACACACTGATAGTGATATTATACAACATACACTGATAGTGATATTATGTAACATACACTGATAGTGATATTATGTAACATACACTGATAGTGATATTATGTAACATACACTGATAGTGATATTATACAACATACACTGATAATGATATTATACAACATACACTGATAGTGATATTATGTAACATACACTGATAGTGATATTATGTAACACACACTGATAATGATATTATGTAACACACACTGATAATGATATTATACAACATACACTGATAGTGATATTATGTAACATACACTGATAATGATATTATGCAACATACACTGATAGTGATATTATGTAACATACACTGATAGTGATATTATACAACATACACTGATAGTGATATTATGTAACATACACTGATAGTGATATTATGTAACATACACTGATAGTGATATTATGCAACATACACTGATAGTGATATTATGCAGCATACACTGATAGTGATATTATACAACATACACTGATAGTGATATTATGTAACATACACTGATAGTGATATTATGCAACATACACTGATAGTGATATTATGTAACATACACTGATAGTGATATTGTGCAACATACACTGATAGTGATATTATGCAACATACACTGATAGTGATATTATGCAACATACACTGATAGTGATATTATGCAACATACACTGATAGTGATATTGTGCAACATACACTGATAGTGATATTATGCAACATACACTGATAGTGATATTATGCAACATACACTGATAGTGATATTATGCAACATACACTGATAGTGATATTATGCAACATACACTGATAGTGATATTATGCAACATACACTGATAGTGATATTATGCAACATACACTGATATTATGCAACATACACTGATAGTGATATTATGCAACATAGACTGATAGTGATATTATGTAACATAGACTGATAGTGATATTATGCAACATAGACTGATAGTGATATTATGCAACATACACTGATAGTGATATTATGCAACATACACTGATAGTGATATTATGCAACATACACTGATAGTGATATTATGCAACATAGACTGATAGTGATATTATGCATCATAGACTGATAGTGATATTATGTAACATAGACTGATAGTGATATTATGCAACATAGACTGATAGTGATATTATGCAACATACACTGATAGTGATATTATGCAACATACACTGATAGTGATATTATGCAACATACACTGATAGTGATATTATGCAACATAGACTGATAGTGATATTATGCAACATAGACTGATAGTGATATTATGTAACATAGACTGATAGTGATATTATGCAACATAGACTGATAGTGATATTATGCAACATACACTGACAGAACTATGCAGTCATCGCCCCCTCTGGCCTTGACAGAGATTGTGAAATATCTACGTTGCTGAAAGACACCACACTTCTACGCGCCCAACCCAGAACGGTCACGTTTGCGGTGCACGTGCAACACTCGTTAGGCACCAAAGTTAAAGGTCAGTTTGTCATGACCTACAAGCAAGGTGCAGCTAATGCTGCTCAGAATTGTGAAAAGCAGTCCCAGAAATATATTTCAGTGGCACTCATCTCGAAGATGGACACAGGATATAAGTGATCTCGAAGATGGACACAGGATATAAGTGATCTCGAAGATGGACACAGGATATAAGTGATCTCGAAGATGGACACAGGATATAAGTGATCTCGAAGATGGACACAGGATATAAGTGATCTCGAAGATGGACACAGGATATAAGTGATCTCGAAGATGGACACAGGATATAAGTGACTCTTGGAATTTAAAAGTACAAGAGGCGAGAAAGCTGGCGAGAGACTGTTTTTTTCTCCCTCAGACAGACCGTGATGAGAACGATGTTATGCAAAGGACCTGCTACACAATGATGGTGTAGCTAATTTTTCCTATCACGCCAAGATGACATTAAGCAGACCGCCATACAGACTGGCTGGTTCCGCACCACTGGGTGGTGAAATGATGAAAGACACACTAGATGTAGTTAGGACTCTTTAAGAACAAGTTAATAGTGTGGATGTACGAAAAGATTCATTACGGTCTGGAAATAATGGCACAGCTAGGAGTAACCACGGGATCTGGTCGAAAATCTACACTAAGAGGAAAGGCAAGACGGACATTTAAACTGCTGCTGGTGCGATCGATACTTGAACTCTTCTCTGGCTGCTAGAAATGAGATCGGGGCGTTTTCTTTACAAGCAATCGGTGTGTGATTAACTGAATCCATCACCCAACAAGGGCGGAATACAAACATAGGACAGATAAAGTAAAGACTTTAGGCGTAATGGGCATATAGGACTAAACCTATATTATAACGACCAATTGGCAATCGGTGGGTGATGTGGTCAAAATCACATAGGCCACCTTTACTTTCCAGGACTGTGCCTGATACTCTTATAAGACTGGGTCGACCAGGGAGCCAAATTTGTTCTTGTAAAAGTCCAGTACTGTCAGGACCAGAACCCAAGACTTTCGGATCCGAATGCTATGGTCTAGCCACTACATCACGGCACAGGTACCCTTTATTTATGGCGCATTAGTTCGTGGAAAGCAGTTATAGCTCTTGGATTTCTATGCTTCATGCTATGTAATATAAAACTGTCCAGCTAAAAGGCTTGAGAATCGCTGGTTTTTCTTAATGTTCGCACTCTTCAAGGTTACATGAACAGCACGTCAACTGTAGAGCTGTCAGAAGATTTGTTCATTTACCAGTAAACTTGCAGAGACTACAGTCGGATACTACACCGTTGAAGCACTATGTCTGAACAACTTAACGGGAAAGTTGCCGTTGTTACTGGCTCCAGTTCTGGTTTAGGAGAAGCAGTTGCTGTTTTATTCGCGTCTCGGGGCGCGAAAGTGACTCTCTGTGGTCGGAATGAGGAAAGACTTAGATCCGTGTTAGAGAAGGTTGTGAAGGCCAGTGGAGGACACGAAGACCGGTTTCTGACTGTTAAAGGGGACTTAAATGATAAGAACGTTCGTAAGGAGATCGTTGAGAAAACTGTGGAGAAGTTTGGACGTTTGGATATTCTTGTACCAAACGCTGGTGTTATTCATCCTAACCAATCAATTTCAACCGCTACAGAAGAAATTTACGATGATATCATGGACACGAACTTGAAGTCTGTGTTTTTTCTCATTCAAGAAGCGGTACCCTATCTGGAGAAGACCAAGGGGACCATAATTAATGTGTCTTCAGCCAGTACAAATATGGCTATTCCTTCGCTAGCCGTTTCCTTGCTTTCAAAAGTAGCACTTGATCATCTAACAAAATGCTTGGCTGTAGATTTGGGTGCAAAGGGCATCCGTGTGAATTCAGTGAATCCTGGATTTTTTCCAACACGGGCCTTGCGAAATATGGGAGATGACCTGGAGAAAGCTGTTAGTTCTGTTCAAGCATTAGAGAAGGATAAAGCTGTGCTTCGTGGAAGGGTCGGAACTGTCAAGGACTTTGCAGAAGCCGTGCTGTTTTTAGCTTCTGGTGCCGCTGGATTTATTAACGGCGAACTCCTAAAAGTTGATGGCGGTCGGAGTTATGGCGCGCTGTTTACGCTAACAGACACCGAAAAGTAACATGAGCTTCAACAGTTTTGATTATAGTTTGCATTTTGTGTCATCAGGTTTTATTGATTTATTTTTACAAACAATAGCACCATTTCATATTTTGCATACTATTTTTGAAAGGTTTTGAAAGGGACATAACAAACGTGTAAATATATATTTTAATCTTAGCCAAGGCCCGACTCGCTAGCGTGGTTGGCTAAACCTGACTTCGCGACACAGGGTGATGAAATCCTTATTGTCCGGGTTCACTCCCCGGAATAGCCAGAAAAGCTAAATTTTTCCCAGATTTACGGTATTTATCATGGAATCAAGGCTGAAGGGTTCTAGCCAAGCACCCATGCTGTCACCAAGTGGAAGCAAATAGCAGCAATGCAGATAGGTGAATAAATCAACCAATAAGAATTTTGTTGGAAAAAAAGTCACTGTCAAAGACAACGATCAAATACTTTAAAATGGCGGCTGCAGAAAGGAACTCGAAGAATACAACACAAACACTTTTTCGCCAGATGTCTCCCGATAATAAGGCCTCCTTGTCGGAAAATAAACGAAAACAAACTACACAATAAAAAAGAACAGCCAATACCCACCTCCTTGGAAACCAACACATACATTTTACAAGAATTCAATAGACAAGAAGAAGCACCATCAGAGAAACGTCTTTGACAAGAAAATCTCACTGAACAAGAAAGCTAATCAGAACAAGAACTGTACAAATTTAAGCAAAAGCTCAGATCAGCTTAAATGCTTTAACGCGTTGGAATTATTTTGATTTTTCAACAGAGCTCAGACTTAAGCTACTCATTTGATCCTCCAGTCTCTGTTGTTACTTAGCATTTTCTAATTGTCAGCAGGGCCGGATTAACATGAGCACATTAAGCACGTGTTTAAGGAATCACAAAGCGAGGGGACACCACAGACATTTTCAGTAGCCTTTGAGCTAAGCGTTAATAGACTCAGTTAAGTATTTTAAAAAACAATCATTTCATAACGACTGTGTAAACTAATAACTTTTTTGCAGCCTGAAACGCAATTTTTAAAAATTATTTATCATGTTTATACCTCGTTGTGCTGTCCTAGTAGGGTTAAACATCCCTCATTCAACAAGGTAAACAGGCAGACTGTATGCCTTATCTGTTAAATATAGAACAGATGTGTTACATAATATTAGGGCGATGATCTGATCAAAGACTCTGCACACACACACACACATAAACACACGCACGCATGCACACATACACAAGTGGAAGTATTTTAAAAAAGTAGACATTATTATCTATCTTACTGTAAGTTGCTTTTAATTTCGATAATTCAATTTTAATAATGGTATATTGTTGTTTATATTTTGAACTACAAATATATGTGGGAGCAGCAGTGCCATCTTTACACACTGCCCCCCTGGGCACTCTCCGGAGGCCTAATACTAATCTGTGTATGTCGTGCAACCGTTCTTCTTTAATTCCTGGAAGTGGTTATCGTACGCTCTGTTGAACACTGATTTGTTCAGGGGCCCATAATGCTGTTAAGATGGCTCTGGAGTGGATGTGGGCAAAATCTGTTACCTGCTTAGGGCATCCCGTGGTCATGAGCCGGACCTATTTGTAAGTAACGGTAAAGAAAGGGTATCTTTATATATCAGTTTCGTATCTGGATACAAGATTTGACTCGTTTTTCATAGACCAATTGAGAGAAACAGCGTTTTGAAGATCCAATGCATACAACCTTCACTATAAAGACGGCACCTGACTGAATACTGATGATGCCGAATGTCGTTCCCTACAGGCGTAGAGACGCCGACACTTTTAAACTCCCTCGGTTCAACTTACTAGCTACAGTCTGTGTTGTACGTAGTATTTCTAGACATCAGCTGAGTTAAGTAGAGTTGAGTTGAGTTGAGTCAAGAAAATGACATCACAGCACTTGGATCATACCCATGCTTGCTCTGTCCCCATCTTCAGCATCTAGCGCACAGTTCCAATTAGATAGATATCAGCTGGACTTCAGTCACTCCTGTTTACGTCATCTGTGCATTTGTTGGCTGTTTGTAGAGTTATTAGGCAATTTTATCTTTAGTGCTTTGCCTTTCGACCTTCAACGTTCATCACATTGTCTAAATTGAAGCAAACTCACCGATGTCAATTTTCATTAACATAAGTGATATTGTTTTTATTACCCAGTGCATGAAAAGTATTTGTATATGTTTTAAAAAAGCTTGTGTTAACTTGTGTATTGTTTATAATCAGTCTTAATCCAATTGTCAAACCAATAAACTATTATTCAAAAGTACTTTGTTTACTCATTTTCCGACAGTCATGTGTTTCTCTTGTTATTCCCCCCCCCCTCCCCCCACCCCCGGCTTTGCATCACAAGGGAAACAAACAAGCTGCCATGTTAAGGCAGTACGCTCGTCGAGTGAGTTAACCATAGAGTTCTCGGGTGGGTGACAAGGCCCCATTGTGGGGAGAAATAAGGGTGGACCCACTGCCTTCTAAAAAGCGACTTATTGGGCGTATTTCTTTCAAAGTCGGAGTGCATTTGTCTGAGAGGAGAGAAACCACCAGTATTGTGTGTGTGCGCTAACACGAACGCGTGCGCGCACACACACACACAAGCGCGCGAATATTCATGCAAGTTATGAAACGGAAGTTGAAATCCAAAACTGAACCAACAACCAGAACTGTCCATCGGGAAAAAAAAAACAGCCAGTGAACGAGAAAATGACAAAAAAAAAATGAACAAGCTGTCTTATGCTTCTTCTTCTTTTCGTTCGTCTGAGTGACGTAACTGCGATGTTCCTGTTTACAGCGAACAGCGATATTTGCGTCTTTCGGCCGGCACATGACCAGGTTAACAACCCCTGATGAACAAGCTGGGAGATGCAGAACCCGGGACAGTGAACGAAAATCTAGAAAATTATTCATCATCATCATCATCTTCAGGTGCCTTGCCGACTGGCGTCGGCGATCATGCCTCTCCATAATTTGCGATCTCCTGCAGCATGTATCAGTTCGTGTGCCGACACACCTCCATGCCATGCAACAAGACTGTCAAGCATCTTCTCTCGTTGTCTTCCTACCATAAATAAGTGGTGTAGCGGCTAGACCCTAGCATGCGGATCAGAAGTTCGTGGTTTCTGATCCTGACGGTTTTTTCACTTTTTTCAAACAAAAAGTTGTCTGCCAGGTCGACCTCAGTCTTAAAAGAGTACCAGGTACAGTCCTGGAAAGTGTTTATGGCCCGGCTGTATTCAGGGCCCCCGGCAAAAGTCAGGGTGGAGCTTCAAAATAACAAAATTTGCATCCCACGAGGAGAATACAATGAACGTGATGTGAGATTTTGAAGAAATGCGGCGGAAAGACAAGAAGAGACAGCCGCCAGGGAAGGACTAAGAAAAATAGTAAGTACAGTACCAGTGAATGATTTCATATCTTTTCAAAGGATCAAATGGCTTGTTCAGCTGGTCAGAATGGAACAAAATCAACCAGAGCGTACTATATGACAACAGCAGGCTACATGAAAAGAGGCCGACCAGGAAAGTATGGGTGGAGGGAGTAAACGAGACACTAGAGAAACGGAATATGACATTAAAACAAGCTACGCAACTAACAAAAGACAGGAAACAACATGTAACGTCTTGCTGAGATGCATTTGCGGCATAAATAGTAGGACAAAAAACGAAGATTTCATGTTATTTCAAACAAATTATGATACATTTTGCCCTTTTGGTTACAGTAATCAAAAAAAAAAAAATTAGCATGTTTATGCGCAATTAAACAATGTTCTTTGGTCATGTGATGAGATGGGGGAGGGGAGGCTCTAGAGAATATTGTGACGACTGGGAAGATAGTGGTGGAAGAGGGAGAGGCAGACCAAGAGAGAAGATGACAGACGGACTGTGACGGTGACATGGAGGGATATCATCGGTGAAACTGAACCAGAGGACAAGCAACAGAGATCTGTTGATATGCATGAATGCCTACGCCGGTCGGCAGGGCAGGTGATAATGATGATGATGATGATGAATTAAACCAGATTAAAACTTCTTACTTTCACCTAATACAGCCTATGACTCCGACTCTACATACTAGACAAACGTATGTGCTTTCCTAACTTATACACATGTATTTTAGTGTGTGTCCTTGGAAAAGGCAAGATAAACTACAGTGCTAACGAACTTTCTGTATCACGCTAGCCAGCGGGTTCACAGTGACCGTGCCAAAATAATTTGTTATACAAAGGTTCTGAAAATCTGAGCAGCAGTATATCCCTAACATATGCATAAATACCAACTAAAAAAAAAAAAAAAAAAAGGAAATGAGAGGGACGCTTTACAAAAAAAAAAAAAATAAAATATTAAATGTAAGGGAAACCAGATTTCTTTAGCATGCTTTGACAAAACCTACAAAGGTAGCCCCCAAAATAAAATGCATACATAGTAATCGTCCACCAGTAAAATTCACAACATTGTTTATAAAGGATACGTGTTGAAAAACGTCATCATTACGTGACATATTTAGCCACATTTAGATCAAATTAGGGTTGCTATGTAATAAAAAGAAGAACTCCACACAGGAGCATGCACAACAGGGGTCCTCCGATCATCAGTAGAGAGATCCTTCGTTGCCGATTGTTTCGGCCCATTACTTCAGTAGAAATCTCGGAATGGAGCCCAACCTGGGTCATGAAGCGAGGTCTCGATCTTCCCCTGTTGCACTTTATCGGACTCGATGGGGTCAAGACGATATGATCACTTTGCAACCTATGCTGTGAGATTTGGTGTTATATTGTTGCTGCCATAGCAAATTAGATCAGTCGACTACTTTCATGACCAGAGGGACATGCTTATGGTTGGTTATCGGACATTTGTTGGACTTTGGCATTTCCCAGAGAGACATCGGCAGACATTTATCGGACACTTTGGCTTTTAAGGAATAAAAAGTTATTTTCCACTAGGAACTCGGACCAGTCTACTGAGGCCCATCTCCCACGAAGTTCCGTTGCGTCCAGAGCCAGCTCAAAGCTCTTTCAGCAGCTTCGCCCAGTTGTTTTAGGGACTGTTTACGCTCGTTTCCTTGCAAGCCCATTGTAAGTGAAAGTGGAAATAAGACCTCTCGTGCGTACGCTTCGTCTCTCCTCCGACCAGCCACGAGCTCATCGTATTTTTCGAGCTTATACATGTGATTTTCTTGCATCCGCGACTCGTACGGCACGGTCAGTTCTATCAAAATGAGCTGGCGTTTTTCTGTAGAGTGCAGAACTATGTCTGCCCTTAGGCGTGTTGTAGGACGTTTATAAAAAGATGCGTAAACAGCGTGACGTCAGCATTAAAACGTCACCAGTCGCAGTCAAGAAAACATTGCTACAGTAATGCATTCAAAGACGGCAAACATCGTACAGGCAGATACATTTCACTGCTGGGCGTTTAATGTGTTAACACTGCAAGTCACAAACCAAGAAACTCTAGACAGTGTGATAACCAAGAGAAGATGGAAATGGTTTGGCCACGTTATGAGAATTAATCCTGATATACCTGCCAAAACAGCTCTCACATGGATGCCTAAAGAAAAGAGAAAAAAAGGGGCGCCCAAAAACAACATGGAGACGAACGATGGAAAGTGACCTGAGTGCGGCCACTCTGACATGGAAAACTGAACTGAAGGTTGCACAGGACAGGAAAGCATGGAAAGTCCTCTCTGAATCCTCATGTGCCACTTGGCATAACGAGTACTGACTGACTGTGTATGTGGGTGAGAGATAGATAGTGAGAGAGAGAGGGAGGAGAGAGAGAGAGAGAGAGAGAGAGAGAGAGAGAGAGAGTGGCTAACTCTGTATAAAGATACAAGAACATATTACGAGTTGGGCGGGGTCCACAGAAACAAATACCACACGTTGTTTGCGACTCAAAGAGCTAGTTGTGCATTTATAATAACTGTGATTTCCGAATTATGCAGTTTTTACTTTCATTGCTCCACATCATGTAATATAATTGTTCACAAGCTAAGTGGTTTAGGAATCGTTTGTTTTACGTGTCTTTATCAGCGCAGTCTTCAAGTGAACATAAACAGCTCGTTAACAGTATTAAATGCGTCGGCAGATTTACTATTTGTTCAGTTCACTTGCGGAAATTACACAGTTTGAACATTCCACTGTTGAAGCACTATGGCTGAACAACTTAACGGTAAAGTTGCCGTTGTTACTGGCTCCAGTTCTGGTTTAGGAGAAGCAGTCGCTGTTTTGTTCGCGTCTCAGGGTGCGAAAGTGACTCTCTGTGGTCGGAATGAGGAAAGACTTAGATCCGTGTTAGAGAAGGTTGTGAAGGCCAGTGGAGGACACGAAGACCGGTTTCTGACTGTACAAGGGGACTTGAATGATAAGAACGTTCGTAAGGAGATCGTTGAGAAAACTGTGGAGAAGTTTGGACGTTTGGATATTCTTGTACCCAGCGCTGGTGTTATTCATCGTAATCAATCAATTTCAACAGCCTCGGAAGAAATTTACGATGATATCATGGACACGAACTTGAAGTCTGTGTTTTTTCTCATTCAAGAAGCCGTACCCTATCTGGAAAAGACCAAGGGGACCATAATCAATGTATCTTCAGCCACTACACATATGGCTATTCCAGCGGTCACCGTATCCTTGCTATCAAAAGTTGCGCTTGATCATCTGACGAAGTGCTTGGCCGTTGATCTGGGTGCGAAAGGCATCCGTGTTAATTCAGTCAATCCTGGATTTTTCCCGACTCGGATCATGCGATATTTCGGAGACGACGTGGAGAAAATTAATAGCTCTGTTATTGCATTTGAAGAAGACAAAGCTGTGCTTCGTGGAAGAGTCGGAACTGTTGAGGACTTTGCACAAGCAGCGCTGTTTTTAGCTTCTGACGCCGCTGGATTCATTACTGGTGAACTCCTCAAAGTCGATGGCGGTCGGAGTTATGGCGGGCAGTTTGCGCTACAGGCCATTGAAATGTAACATGAGTTACAAAAGTTATGAATACAGTTTTCAATGTGTGTCTTATGCTTCAGTTAAAATATATTTACAAACAATAGCACCATGTATTTTTAGGAAAATTTAACCACAAATATATCGCAAGTATTTAAAAAAAAAAGAGAGAGACCTTATAGAAGTGTAAAATACTTAATGTTTATCTATGCTACAGTTAGCTATTAACATCATTACTATTTAACGTGTTTTATCTGTGTTCACTGGTCATCATCATTAAGTGCCTTCCCAACAGGCGTAGATCTTGGTCTTTGGTGTTCTGAATTAATTCTACTGATAATATTCCTCCATGCCACTGTCTTAAGCCATCATCATCATTTCTCTTGGTCTGCCTCTTCCTTTTCTACCAGTTATTTTTTTTTTCTGTTTTCAAAGTACTATCCTGTATTCCTTTTCTTGTTACATGACCAAAGAACTGCGTCTCCTTCTCATTGTTTTATATATTGTTCTACTTGCTCTAAGCATTTAGTAACGCTTTTCTTCCTTGCGCAGTCATTAACCAGTTCAGAGCATTTTATGACTATATTAAAAAACCATTCAGAAGAATTGTTTTAAACC